GAGGGGGGAAAAATCCAAGCTCAAAACAAAACCTACACACAAACCCCAAAAATGCGGCTCGTGAGGGAGAGGGGAGCAGAGTGGGCAGACGCGCGCGTGAACAGGTACCAGCTTGTCCCGGGGCACCCACTCCGGAGGGAAGAACCACTGTGGGCACACCCCTTGGCACTGAGAGGACTGCATGCTTAAGAGTGTGGCGGTTTGGGTTTAGGGAGATTAAAAATTCAAGTGTAAGCTAGCGCAAAAAAAAAAAAAAAAAAAAAAAAAAAAAAAAAAAAAACCAATGGAGGAAAGACTTTCAAAGCTGCGAAACCTTACCACTTAAGATAATGACAGAAACGTTCGACTGCTTCCTCCTCCCTGGCAGAAAGGAGCAGGGCGGTCAGAAGGCTGGAAACAACAGGCCCTTTGTAGCAGCCTGTTGTGCTTTCTTTGCTTATTCTATTACGCATTGGCTGGGAGATAAGAACAAACAAGACAACACCCTGTCTAACTTCAGGGGGAGGGGTGGGGCAAACTGGCTTCTGTCATTCCTGGGCATGTGTGTGCAAGGCACCTATCTGCAGCTGAGGTACTTAGGGAAACTCTGCATGCAGAGTCAGGAGCTAGGATAAGCTTGCAGAGGTTTCTATTGCACAACCCAATCTTTTAAGAACAAGTTGTTGTAATAAGGGGCTTTATGGTATTTCTCCACCGTGAAGAACACTGAGAATATTTGAGTAATTATTTCTCTACTCTTTGTCAACATTATTTTTTTAAATAAGGGGGAAAAAAGCCTTAAAAATTTGGGTGAGCAAACATATACACCCAGCTCCCCCCGACTGGAGAGATCCTCCAGTATAAGCAAGGAATCACCAACAGCATCAGGTAAAGAAAATGTGGCCATGGGGGTCATCTTTCTCCCCTGGCATGGGTACTGAGTGCCAGGTACTGTGCCAGTTCCAAAAACGGAGAGTCTGTTTAAGGACAGCAGCTGCTAAGCCCTGGGGCTCTAACCAGCAGGTCATGAGACAGTACAACACCCATGATCCCAAGACAAAGCTGACCTCTGTGGCTACCCGTGACCTCTCGCAGTCTCTGCTTGTCTTCGCATGGCTGACCTGAGCCCACCCTAAGGAAGCCACCCGCCCTGCTCTCCAGACTTAGTGTGCTTGGTCTTGTTTTCTTCAGAGCACACATCTCCACTTCTGGGTATTCGGTTTTTCTCCCAGACTAGAACATCTGTCCCCAGAGGAACAGAGTTCTCGTTAACCTCCATTGCCCCTTGCAGACTTGGCGATTTAAATACCGCATTCCGACAATGTGCTTGACAGAGATGCACCAAGACTGACTAGACAGACAGCCACACGCACCCTGTGGAGCCAGGGGAAAGGAGATCAGAGCAGAATCTGCCAGTTGCCTGAGCCAGACATATTACCTTTACTTCCCCCACCCCACCCCACCCCACCCCACCCCACCCCACCCCACCCCACAGTTTTCCCAGTTGGGCAGAAGTAAGACTAATAAGACGTGCACAGCGGGGCTGAGAAGCTGAGCTTTAGGTGGCACCAGGAGAACTCACAGGATTCCTGAAAGTCAAATGTGGAATGGGGGTGGGGTACGTGGGCATCAGCAAGGTGGTCCTGCCTGGGACGTGTAACCGTGAACCACTGAGAGACAAACGGTATAGCAAACACGCCGAGAGGTGGGACCAGGGCGTCACTGTGATCTGCTGAGATCACAGACGGGGGCTGAAAGGGACACATACAGGAGCAGGGTGTTCATTTTCAGCAGTGTTCATAAATCGCAGTCTGGGCTACTATTCCACTGACGGCACTGCTGTTATAGCCAAGAGTACAAGTGTGACCAACAGGACCCTTGGCACACACTTCTCAATGTCAGGGAGTTAGACAAGGTCATAACAAACATGGCAGAATATTAATCTCAACGGCAGGAGAGCTTTGTACACAAAGGGGGGGACTCATTCAGAACGCACTCAAAATGGGGACATCCCAGTACTCACTTCAAGACAAGCAGACCCCCGTGTCCACAGAAGGGAGGAATTAAAGGAAACAAAACCAGAAAGCCCACGGGTCCCAAATGAGCAAAGGATTGGATGGAGTTGGCCATGGGGGGACCCAAATGCAAACTGGTAGGTTTCCTAGTCATACTAGAGCAGTGGTTCTCAACTTGTGGGCCATGGCCTCTTTGTGGTCAAAAGACCCTTTCCCAGGGGTCACCCAAGACCATCTGCATTATCAGGTATTTATGTTATGATCCAGAACAGTAGCAACATTACAGTTACAGAGTATCAAGGCAAACAGCTTTATGGGGGGGGGGGTCACCAGTTCGTTAACGGTCACAGCATTTGGAAGGTTGAGAACCACTGGACCAGGAGTGAAAGCATCTTCCCCTTTGAAGTGCAGAGACGGAGGGAGGGCTAGCTGGTCAGCTCTGGTGTCTGCAGTAAAAGGTGACAGAAACAACCCAGTAGAACACAGAGAAGCGCTTTGCTAAAAGAGCTCCAGAGCACTTTTGTTAAAAATGAGTCCAATTCCAGGGCACTGTTTTTGTGTACTGTTCACCTTCTTGCGAATAGATTACCATGCTTTAAAAAGTTGCAAAAACATGTTTTCCTCACTTCACTGAAGTTACTTTTTTGGCTCAAGAGGAGAGTTAAGCATAAGAAGAATAATGTTTAAAACTCCGGTATCATCCAAACATTTTTAAAAATCCTTTAACACGGTTAATGATTTGCCTGCTTTTGTTCATGTGGGAATGCTGAATGCTGTTTGCCAAAGAGGAATGCTAAAATGGTACTCATTATAATTAAAACCTAACTGCTAAGGAAGCCCAGAGCTATGGATTTTATGATCCTGCTACATGTTTATAAACAGGGACGCAGGAAAGAGTCAGTTAATTTACCAAGAAGTCCTTTGATTTCCCAGCACACTGTAATGATCAGGGCATGGTGAGTTTTGGTGCATAGGTCTCTCGTAATGGTATCTTGTGGTTTGGAGAGCTTCCCTATTCCCTGTGTGGGGCACAGAGTTGACCTCCACACATGCCACTTTTGCTGTGGTGGAGCCTTGAGCACACATAAAGCAGTGCCCAGACTCAGCTGCATGTGGCCAAACCCATTCTGCATTCCACCTGGGAGTAGACACGGTGACCACAGTTCAAATGCAAAGAAAAGTAGGTAAGTACAGGAAACAGCTTAACCGTTTCCTGTCTAATAAGGAAAGGTGCATGGGGTTGGAGGTGGGCTACTTGAGAACTGTGCAGTTCCATCCTGAAGCTCGACAGCAGTCTCCTTACTGCTAAGTTGTTAGCTCCGCTCCAGTTTTGACGTCTGTGCCCAGCACCGTTTGGCCTTCAGGCACTTAGGCTTCTTGCTTTTAAAAAATACAGCATTAGACATGTCTAAATCACCTTAAATATCTCAAAAAGCAGAAACCTTACCGTTGGCCTGCTTGGGCATGCAGACTCGGAAAGAGAAGCTTACAGAACGGCCTGTGGGCCAGCACATTCTAGCTCTGGCAGACTGTGCGTCAAGGAGGAGCTATCAAGAGGTTCTGTGCATGAAAAACACTCGGCCTCTGGTTCCCCCAGGCTAGAACATGAACTGTAAGCAAATATGCTCTGGAAAACAACACTCATAAACTGCTGAAACCTCTCAAATAAACGTGACCCCTCAAAACCATATACAAATAAATGAGAACCATTTAATGACCAACCCTTTCTTTGCCAGTAACTGCTTAAATTAAGCCCAGGAAACTCTTCAAAGGGACCCAAGAAGCCCCCTTGTTAAGACAAACTCCATATATAGACATCAAGACAATTACATGATGCACACAACCAAACATATATAATTATCCTAGTTTCTACATTCCCATTATCTTCATAAATACAGGATAAAAATCAGTCTACGTGATTTTCTAAGAACTGCTCAAGGATTACATCAAGGCAGCCATCCCTTAAAAAGTGTGTGCGCGTACGTGCGTGTGTGCATGTGTGTGTGTGTGTGTGTGTGTGTGTGTGTGTGTGTGTGTGTGTGTTAAAGATCAAAAGCAAATGTTCTGGTCAGTTCTTTTCTACTCAAGGGTTTTACCAAGACTGTGCGGTTACTTTTTGGGAAAACACCACAAATGACAGCTGTTCAAAAGCATGGAAATTAATTGGCGAAAGGAATTTCCTTGACTAATGGGGAAAAACTCAAAGCCACATGTTTGATGAGCTCGTTTTCCCACCCCTAGTCAAGCATAGTCCCCGATAGTGATTAGGATTTGCAAACAGAAGCCTAGGAAGGCCCACCCGCCATCTTTCCTCGGTGGGACAGAACCACTGTCCCATCACTTTGAAGAGGGATGGCGGGACAGGCGGGAGTGGCTGTAATTAACACAGGGTAAAGGGTCGGCTTCTAAGTCTCCATTTTGAACACTTCACTTACTATATTAAAAATAGGAACAAGTCTCTATACCCCTCCCCGACGGTAAGCCATCTGCTTTTAGCTGTTTTCCCAGCATCGAGGATGGATTTATGTTCGCTGTGACACAGGGGTTCTAAAGTTGTTGCCTTGTGACCAATGTTGAGAATGGATGAGGCAGCTGGTCAGGATTAGTCGAGCAGCTGTGGCCCTGAGACTAGATTTTGTTACTGTGTGTGGAGCCTGACGCCATGACCTTGGACTCATTAACAGCAAGCTCTCACCACCCAAGCTAACAGCCACTGAGTAACCATGACCCCACATACATCACTCTGGGGTACAGTGTGTTCCCAGTCCCAGCTACGGTACCTACAGGTTCACGGGCATAGTGTGGGGAGGAGGGTGTACTTGAAAACAATCCCCTGAGGTTACATACATAAGATCCAAGAGTGAACAACGAGTCCCCCATCCCCCCCCCACACTTCCTTCCATCCTAAGCAGAGAAAATGGCTGACAGCGGTTAAGAAAAAAACGTGAACCTGGGGTCCCCAGACTTCTGAAGCGTGTGCTCCACACGCCATGCTGAGAGGCATACCTGGCCATCCCCAGACTGGGAAAGTTGGCAGGGACAATGAGTATGTCCAGCCGGGAGAAAGGGTGCGTTCCCAGGACAGAGTATGCAGTTGAGAGGCAAGGAGGAACCAGCCACAGCAGGGCCTCGCGGCAGGCGCCTTCGAGGCACAGGGGGGCGAACACGCGATGAGGAATGGTGTCCTGCGTGGCAGCAGAGGGATCCTGGAACCGGCACGGGTAGTCTACATGACTGCAGGGGTCAGCATACCTGGAAGGACACATGGGAAGAGATGGAGACAACTTTGAGAGGACAGCGGTTTAAACAGGCGAATAGGCAAAGGCCGCTCATCTCAATACTGGCTTGTCTGCCTTGGGATAGCAGTGAAAAACAAAACATCAAAATACTGATCAACGTGCTCGAACCGACTTCAGTCTAAGCTACATGAAAGCAAAAAGACCCTGTTTTAGAACTAACGGGGTGGGGAGGGGGAGAACTTAGAACAAGAAAACAACCTTCCACCCAGATTTAAAGCAAATTCTACCCTCAGTAATGTTGCTTTCCAATGCTACCATAGAAAAACTGTCCAAATAATTGACAGTTCTTGGACGGGGAGCAACACAGTGTCCATCTTGTTTATTTAATTTCCATTGTTTGAGACCACGTGTAACCCAGGGAGCCTCGAACTCCTGTCTCTTTTGCATCTACCTCTCAAGTGCTGGGATTACAGGCCTTTGTACCTGGTTCTACGCAAACTAATGATTCCATTCTGGAATATACTACAATAAATGATTTGGGATGAAGTAGGACAGGACAGTTACAGGTACAGCTTTCAGAAACAGACAAACAATCCTATCAAAAAACAACCTAGGCATCCTTCAGCAAACATCAGAAGCTGCTGCCGAGGGAGACAGAGGCGCTTGTGAGTGTTTCCTCCACTACACCTTTTGGGTGTTTGAGACAGGGTCACGTGCATCCTAGGCTCACCTCATAGCTGAGAACGGCCTTGAGCTCCTGATCGTCCTGCCTCTCTCTGCCTCTCGTGTGCTGCAATTACTGGCATATGCCTGATTTATATGGTTTTGGAACTCGAACCCAGGGCTTCCTACATACTGGGCGAGTACTCTACCAACTGAGCTATGTCTCCAGTTCCTTCCCAATGAGCTTTCCGTATAAATTTAATGAAATCAACCTTCCATGGGAGCAAGACCCAGCGTCCAGTCGGCACCGTCTGAGGCACCGTCTAACTACTTACTCCCAGAAAGAGAAAGGCGGAGCGGAAAGAAAATTCCTAGGGCCTGACTCACGGGCCTCAAGAGAACTTACATACCAACATCAAAGAGAATTCTATTTTTTCATCTGTTAACATGTCCTCGGTTCAGACACAATGGAAAACCCCTGTAACTTTAAATTGCAGATTATAATTCGAGCTGTGGGCGCTCCTGTGATTTCACCACCGATACTGCAGGATCTCCAAGCGCCTGCTGCCTCAATTTGGGCAGGTTGCAACAATAATTCCTCTTTAGATTTATGAAGCATCTGCCACCCGCCCAAGGCCTGTGATCAAGAGATCCACACAGCTATGTAAACAAGCCTAACCCCCCAAACCCCCCTCCCCCAGCACTGTGCTTCAAGAGTCCCAGTGAGACCAGGTTACATTTGAGGGTGGGACGGGAAAGAGGGACCAGTAAAAACTGCCAGCACCGGGTGACAGCAGGACCATAGCTACTGACGTTGAACTTGGGTCAGCGTCCTGGGCTGGTGACGCCACCTTGCACACCCTGAGAGAAAAGAGTGGGCAAGGAGGGTGTCTGCTTGTGAACATCCGGCATCTACCTAATGGTGACAAACAGAAGCTTCCGGGCAGCGTCTGTGGGGCTTCTTAAAACACACTCACACAGGAACACAATGTCCCGTTGTGCTTTAAGCTCACACACTCGCCACTGAAGACAATGCAAATGACAATGGTGGCATATGCCTGCCCGTGAGCGTACAACCAACTCCTGGGGGGGGGGGGCAGAGACAGAACAATCGGGAGATCAAGGGTGGAGCGTGGGTTACATGAGACCCTGCCTCAAAAAGCCACCCCCAAAAGGCGTTCGGAAGCCAAGTGTGGCTGGCATCAGGGTGGTACCCTGGGGAGGCTGGGGCAGGCGTACTGTGGATTTGACACCAAGGCCCAGCTGGAGCTATGCACACCAAGTCCCGAGCTCAAAACCCTCAAGCGGGGCCTTCAAAGCATGCTACCTTGAGCTGGGACTCCCTGGACAGGGCGGGGAGTAAGTTCAAGGACTAAGCGCCATATTGCTGCAGTACAGAAGACAGGCATTCTATCTAGAAATTGCCTATTCCCATGGAGCGAGGCTATTTCTTAACATCTAAGAAAATCAGAGGCCAAGGAGCAGAGTGAAGATGGCAACATCACACCAAACAACACTGTTTGTTTGAGGGAAAAGAGAAATTATTTTCTTTCCAGGTATACCTGGCACTCACCAAACTAATGAGGGCGAATCCTACTAGATACATGACTTAATACCATTTCCGCAAAACTCAAGCAGTCGAGCTGCAAGCAGACTACGTCAGTGAAGGCTCCTGGCAGGGCAGAAATGCATGAGCCCCTGTGTAAGGACCTGTGCGCCAGGCCTTCGGTGGCTGTGACTCAGGTCAGCTGTGACCAAGGCCATGGTCTCACCAATGTGGCAGATGGGGGGGGGAGGTAGGAGGAGACTCTGGCAGGACAGAACGTCCTCAGTCAGTCTGTGCTCACAGTGGGTGTCAATCACATCCTGAAATGCTTCCCAGGGTTTCTTCCTGCAAAGATGACTCTGGATGCTCCCTTCACGCCCCGTTCCATTCGTTCGTGCAGCAGCTAAGGGGGTGCAGGGCGGGCTTGTGTGATTGGCAGTTAGCACAGACCCCGTGGCAACTGGAGATCTCTCTCTTCCTTTCATGGCGGCCCTCCCTCAGCATTTCCCGACCCTGTCTTCCTTTCTGCGGAATGAGTCATCTCAGCATCCTTAACATGGTGCCAGTTTTTCAATGCCTTTAATCACGTTCCTTGTGTCCCACTGGAGGGTATCCAAGCTCCCACGCCAAGCTTAAGCTGTATGACCCAAGATGAAGGCCTGACAGGTTAAACAAACATGAGACAAGACTCTCCTGTGGCTAGAACCAAATAAAATTAGTGCATGTGGGACTGTTCATCTATCTTTAGCCTATGTGTTTGCTGACATTTTCATTGCAAGTGCACCGCAAGAGTGTCCCACCACCCCACCGTAACTTAGCTCCTGTGAAGAGTGATCAAAAGTTCAGTGAGCTGCTGCAAATGATATGATAGACTTTGAAGATTTCCCCATGGAAGGCCTCACCCTCCCTGGGGAGCAGAAAGGGGATGGGATGGGGGTTGGTGGGGGCGCAGGGGAGGAGGGTAGGGAGAGGGAACTGGGATTGACATGTGTAACAAGCTTGTTTCTAATAAAAAAAAAAGTTCCGTGACCAATCCTTGGGCTAAATTTCTAGAACCCAGATAAACCCTTGGGCAAACGGAAGCCATGGTATGTAAGGCTCCTGTGAATATTAGACTGGCATGATTGAGACTGGTGGGAAGGAGGGCTGGGAAGGCAGGCCTCGTCATGTGTGAGCACGGCCAGAAACACTAACGCGGTATGATGGCAGAACACACCCGCTCAACCCATGGGGCCAGGGATGGCCTAGGAGGCACGGTGGCGTGACAGAACTAAAAATGTAAGCTAATGCTTTATTAACTGGATGTATCTGATGGACAGGCATGCAGGTACGCAAAATGAGACTGTGCACTGTCAGTCACGGGGGGGGGGGGAGAGGGAGGGGTGTGGAGGAGTTCATTCCACAACCGTACCCCACTTCAACCCTTGCATAGCACAGCACAGAAGGAAGCTCCTGGGAGCTTCCCAACAGAGCAACAGCAAGCTTCCCCTAGCTTCCCTGACTGGCTGGCCTCTGGGGACCTGCTTGTCCAATGAGGATTTTCTGGGGTCTGCTGCCTGGCCTATGATACCCTGAGCATCAGCACAGCAGTCGACCAGGCTGGTAACTGACATGAAGTGTTAGGAAGCCTGGTGCCCAGGTACTCTCTCAGGTCAACTTGTCAGTGACCAAATCTCTGCCTTCATTTCCTTCTGTATGCTCTTCAGCTGGTCCCAAACATGCAAGGCCAAAGGGGGAATAGGAGTTACCTTCCCCAGGCCCCAACGGCGACTTCCCAGTTCCCCCATCTGACCTGGCCATCCTCTCTTCTGCTCACCATGGCAGAGACAAATGAAAGGGGACCCCAATTAGTCTGAGCCAAATCCCCAGCTCAGCCTCATCTGTTGGCCTTCATCTCCTAGTGGTCGCTGAGAGCTGAGACTACAGGTGGATGACAGAGGACTTCTTCACCATCAAGAATTCATGGGCAGAGTCTTCATTGTGGAAAGTGTGTGTGGGCCTGCTGTGGCACCACATCCAGGTGATAAGGAGGGAAACTCTGTTTGTGTTTTCTTCTTCAAAAATTATACTTATTTTGTATGCGTGGCAACAAGGGGTTCATGCAAAGGTCATAGAATAACTCTCAAAGTTAGCTCTGTCCAGTACGTGGGTTCTGGGGAGTGAACCCAAGCCATCAGGCTTGACAGGAGCCTCTCCGCTGAGCCATCTTGCACGCCTCCACTGCTGTTTCCCTGAGGATACTCTCTTAATGGAGGGGGTGACTCCAGCTGAGTTCTGAGGTGGCTCAGTTGCTACAGTCTCTAGGGAAGAGTCCAAGTCACTTCTCCAGAGAACAGACATGGTACGAACGGATACCGGCACTGTTTCTCGGTTGGTGGGGAAATAAATCATTGTCCTAGCTCCTTTATCGTCGTCTGTAATTGAGAGCAACAGAGCCAATGCGTCTTATGGACGAGAGGACCCTGGCTGCAGGCAGCCAGTGGCTTCTGTGTGGGTTCAGGAGCAGCCAGGACTCTCTACAGTCACAAACTCTGCAGCACACACTTTCCCCGGTGGCTTGACTCCCTCACTCAGAAATCGTCTGCTGTGTGGTTCCAGAGCAAGGAAAGGGGTCACTGCAGTCTCGCAACCAAGTATTCCCACACGGAAGCAGTATATGCCACTTCTGTCCATAAGTACCTTCTTCTCTCGAGAGAACGCAAATAAAATCTAGTCTTTCCTGAGCCATTAGGATAGACTCCTAAACCAACGATTATTGAGCAAAGAGTAGAAAATCATTCTATGCTGACAAAAAGGCATAATGTAGGCATTAAGATGTGCTTGTCAGAGGAGAGACCACCTGGTGTGAGCTCCTGACATCACCGCCATGGCCACTGTGGTGAGATTATTCTCACCACAGTGAGCAACAGCAAAGAAAGACCAGCACAAAAGCAATGGACACCGATATGTCGTTGTTGGTTTCTTTTTCTGTTTTGTTTGTTTGAGACAAGGCCTCATTCAGGGCTGGCCTTGAACTTGCCATGTCTCCAAGGATGACATTAACGTCTTACCCAGATGCCTCTACCTCCTAAGAGCTAGGGTTACATGTACAGACCACCAACGTCTAGTTTATGTGATGGTGAAGGTGGAAGCCAAGGCTTCGTGCTTGACAAGACTCTCTACAACAAAGCTGCATCCCTGTCACTTTTATTTCTGAAATATGTATCTGCTCCATTCTTCTGGATTGTCTCTATGCAGTAACCTACACAGATATCTGAAAAGTTGAAGGTGATTTCTCTGTATCCAAAAAAAAAGAAAAAAGAAAAAAAGAAAAGCAAAGGAAAAGGAAAAATGTGTACAAGGCCTTGACTCCCAGAAATGCCTTAACCCAATGGCTACGTGAGTTTCTCTGTGACCCATAACACACCACCATCAGGAACAGCAGGGCCAGAGCGGTCAGTGCCCTCCACAGGGGCAAGTAGATGAGTCCTTCACTGCATTCCTCCCCTCTGCCGCTCCCTCCCCTCCGCACCTTCCCCTCCGCTGAGCACCTTTGCTTCTTTAACTGGTTTTGACCAGGTTAAAGACATCTAAAGGGTAGAAGGGAAAGGGTTCAATCTGCAGCGTTTTAATTTGAGCAAACATGTAGAAATGCTTCTCTTGACATCACAGAGAATTTCACATCCACCTGCTTTCCTCTTTCTTTATGACCAACAAGGCCAACTTGCTCTTTTCCAGTAGGCCCTTTCCTGCTTTGATTAGGTCCATTGTCGCCCAGTTTCTTGCCCAGTTTCTCGGCAGGAATGACTCATATTCCCAAAGTGAAGTCAGAAAACTCCCCAACACAAACCTGGAGTCAGCTTTCAAAGGCAGGAGAGGGCGCTCTGCCTCCGGATCATCTGATGGGGATGTCTTGGGCTTCACTTCTGTCCAGTAACCCACTGCAATTGTGAAGGTAGAGGCTGGCATTGGCATGGTCACGTAGTAATGCCAGCTCTCGCGCCCTATAAACAGAGAGCAGTTGTCGTGAGGCACTCGCAGGGCCTGTGGGACAAAGTAGCAATAACTCATCCTAGAGGCAAGCCAGGCCACCTGAAGGGGAGATATGCCTGCAGGCCCCAGACAAGTACAGGAGGGATGCAGGTCTGAAGGCAGCTAGGGAGGGCTGGGTCTCCTCCAGAGACTGGTCTGAAGCCATCAGCAAGGCTAACTCTAAATGGTGGTGCTAAGGTCGCCACTAAGCTGCAAACACAGAGGGCTGCCGCGCTGGCCCCGGGCTGCCGCGGACACAAGGACACACACATCCTCTTCTTCCCCCATGGCTGGCATGGAGAAGGAAATGTGGCTGATATTTGATGAAGAAATGAATCAACGAGGAACGATCATTTCTGTGCTGTAATCCAACTATTTTGCCTGAATTCAATTAAAGTCACTCTAAGATGGATACAGAAGGAAAATATGAAATTATAGAAAGGAAGTGCCTAGGTTTTAGTTCTGACTTAATAACCAATTAGCTGTGGAAATGTGGGGCCTACCTTCATCCCTCTAACTATGTAGTCAATCGCCCTAACAACCAGAGCGTATGCAAAGCCGATGGAGAGCGTTCGCGGCACCAAGGACTCCCACCCCAGCTCAGGATGTAGTCTCTACTTGTCCAGACATGAGAGAAGTTGTTTCTCAAATACATAATGGATAATTTACAATCCTAGGTCTCTCTCAATTCAGAGATGAGGAAGCAAACTTCTTGTTTCTGAAATCTGAACACATCAGATTTAGCATGCCATTCTTACAGAAGTGTCTGCTATAAACTGATAGTTCACAGAGCCAGGCATGGCAGCAGGTAATCCTTGGCTACGTGGCAAGCTTAGAAAGTCTGGAAAATAGCCTGAGATACATGTGCCTTCCTCTCATGACTGGGGAATCACACATGCACATGCACATGTACGCGCGCGCGCACACACACGCGCGCGCACACACACACACAGTATTCCTTTACGCTGTGTGGTGAACCTATGTCGCTGTGATTATTTTAATAAGGAAGCTGACTGGCCAATAGCTGAGGGTTAAGTGGGATAACCAAGCTGAGGATGATTGGGGGTGGGGGTGGGGGATGGGGGTGGAGGGGGAGTGGAGGGTGGAGTCTGAAGAGCATCGAGAGATATAATAGAGAAAAGCAAGATGGACATGCCACACTGAGGAAAGGTACCAATTAATTGAAAATGTAAGAGCTACTTAACAATACTGAGCTACTGGCCAAGCATTTATAATTAATGTTAAGCCTCTGTGTGTTTATTTGGAAGCTGCGGGTGGGACAAAAACTTCTGCCAACACACACCACACACACACACACACACACACACACACACACACACACGCACACACACCACACACCACACACACGCACACACCACACACATACACACACACCACACACACACACACACACACGCACACACACCACACACACACACACCACACACACACCACACACACACACACACCACACACACACCACACACACACACACACCACACACACACACACCACACACACGCACACACACCACACACACACACCACACACACACCACACACACACACACACCACACACACACCACACACACACCACACACACGCACCACACAGACAATTTTTTAAGATGTATTTATTTTATGTGTGTGTATCTAGTGCCGGCAGAGGTAAGAAGACAGTGTCAAATCCCTGAGAACTGGAGTTGCAGATGATCCGAGAGCCAGTCAAACCCAGGTCCTCTTTGAGAGCAACTTGTGCTTTTAAGCACGGAATCGTCTCTCCAGCCCCTTGTACGACTGCTTTTGAAAAGCTTTGGTGTAAAAAGAAAAGAAATCCCAAATCCAAATCTAAGGGCTAGAGCTAGTGACTACCTATAGTATTCTTTTCAGAATTCACTGTGGATAACCGGGGCTTTGCTTTAAAAAATAATCGAAACCCTAGGCATTAGGGATGTAGATCACTCGCTTCATATGCACACACAGGCAGAGAGGTCAGAAATTCAAGCTTGTCCTTGGCTACATCCCGAGCTCAGACCAGCCCTAGCTCTCTATCTAAGAACCTGGGATCAGGTAGAAATGGAACCCCGGATGGAAACTCTGGGCGTGCCTCTAAACCCCACCCCCCGACACTATTAAATAACAGTAAACACTATTGTTTTGTTTTTGACAGAGACTGGCATGGAATTCAGAATGTAGAGATGTAGGTGATGCTGGCTCCGATCTCCCAATCCTCCCACCAAGTGCTGGGATGACAGATAAGCGTGCCCTACTGTACTCAGGAAAGAGCTGGCTGAACTCATTTAGTTTAGGCAGAAACAGTAAGAACGAAGAAAATAAGGCAGAGCAGCTACAGAGTACAGGAAGCTGCAGGAAGACCGACAGAGCTGGCAAAAGACAGCACAGACCCACGTCTTGTGGGCAGTGGTGTGATACCTTGATTGGGTTCTGACAAATAAAGCTTGCTTGCAGTCAGAGGGTGGAGCCAGCCTCTAGCTAACCATGGAGGTTTGGAGGACTATAGATAGAGGAGACAGGAAGTAGTACGGTGGGACAGAGGAATGAGAGAGGTAGGAAGCAACTGGTGGCTGCTTCCAGTTCCCTGGTCTTTCGGGTTCTTACCCCAGTATTTGACTCCCAGGTTTTTTTTTTTTTATTGCTAAGACTAATAAATCACAGTAGAGAATGAATGGAACCACAAGCATCATCTCTTACTTGGGGCCCAGACTGCTGGTAGCTAAGCTTTTGCCCAGAAGGAAGGAGACTGACGGAGCCGGTGATCCAATAGCAGAAGCCGGATCACACAGGTACTGGAGGTCTGTGATCAGCTATTATGCACCTAGGACTGCCAGTCTGTTTCTTAAAGTACTCCTCCCAAGTCTTGGGAAACCAAGAATCTTCAAGGCACTTGCAGAAAGCCCAGGGGTCAATACTGAGAGAACAAAGCAAGCAGAAAATGCACCTGGACGACAGTGAGCACACTCAAGACGTTAACACCACCAGACACAAACAGTCTGAATTAAGGGACTGCATTGCTGGAGATGGAGGAAGAGTGGGTTGGGGGAGGGGTAAACGGAAGTGGAGGGGTACAGGAGGAGAGACTGCTGTGGTCAGTATGTAAAATAACTGAAAAAATGTTATTTAAGTAATATCTTTATAAAGAGAGAGAGAGGATGTATTGCAATCCTACAGAAACAGTTCTTAGAAAGCACGTCATCAGTAAAGATAAAGCCTTATGGCAGAAAAGAAAGACTCGGTCGGTAAAGGGATGAGATGAGACACTGGGGTGAAGAAATCTCCCAGAGGGTCAAGGAAAATGTCAACTCAAACCAAGCCAAGTTAAAAAAAAAAAAAAAAAAAAACCAGCAAGAATAGGGGAGAAGAAGAAGGTGCTATTAGGAGGCGCACCGCCCAAGTGGTAGAGTTCCCCCAAAACGTGGCAGAGAAAAGAGGAGAGGACCTTCAGCTTAAAACCCAGGGGATTACCCCAAAGGGGTCTTGGGACTCCAGACCAAAAGGACAAACACCCGAGATGCACCAGGACTGCTCTGAAACTGCAGCAGGAGACTGAAGACAAGACCCTACGTTTTCAGACACACAGAGCTTACAAACATCCACCTCCCACACACCCATACCCTCCGGAAGCTACCAGTCTACAGAAGTGTGCTTCAAAAAGACGCTGGAGAAGAAAGGACGCCCGCAGAACCATGAACCGTGCGCCCGTGGAGGGTGCCTAAGGGCCCAGAGAGAACCCTTGAGGAGACCAGAGAGTCCAGGGTTGATGAACGCATGGACATCGCGACAGCACAGCGCTATTATTCACTCCAAGAAGAAAGAACACACAGAAAAGACACAATCACGGCTTTTCTACAAGGCTCTCGGTCCTCACACACACAAACTTGAAATATTGATGCAACCTGAGTCCTGTGACCTACAAGGAGAAGAAGGGACACTGGGAAGTCCCAGCTCTGAATAACCTAGCACCTTATCAAGGGATGGAAGGGATGTGTGTGTGTGGGGGGGGGCACCAAGAAGCCGGGAACAGAGAGAAGCAACCACTTATTTTATTTATTTTTGCCCATAGGTAAGTGCTCGAACACTGTGCTAGGTTCTCAGCTTCCTTTTCCCTTTCTATTCCGAGACAGAACCTCACTAAGTACCTGGGCTGGCCTTGAACTAGAGTTCTTTCTGCCTCAGGCTCCAGAGTAGCTGGGGGTACAGGTGTGTCCTGCAAGGCCTACCTGAAAGTGCTTATTTCTTAAGCAGGAAGGATGATGGGAAGGTAAAACAAGATGATTCATGGCTCTTTGGAAAAACAAAACAAAACAAAAGAATATAATAAAAGGAACGATTATTTTTGGTTCTTAAATGTTGTATTTTAATGTAAATAATTAAAATCAAATAATGTAAAGGCAACTCTTTTTCTCTTTTGATTGGCCTCAACCCCATGGCAACTCTTCTCTCAACTACCCCAGAGCTGGGGCTGCAAGAGTCACCACACTCAGAAAAAAGTACAGTACTAAAGTGATAAAGCACATCATCGACTGGAGGGAGCAGTCTAGAAATAAGCGTGCAGCGTTAGGGATGACACTGTGTCCGCCGGAACTCAGACTCAGCTATTCTGCCGTCTGTCTACTTTCAGAGTCTTGTGGAGACGCAGGGACTGAAACAATTTCTAAGTTCACCAGGAACTGGAGGGCCAGGTGCATGAGGGCAACTCACCTGGCCCTCAGGGTGAACTGGGAGGACACTATGGGACACAAAGGCGCAGCGTTGAGTAAGAGGCCTGGAGGGGTGCAGGAAAAGCCACAGCTTAGGGATCAGCCACCGCAAACCTGAGCTGAGGTCCAAAAGAGACATTCGGAGCCGCTGTTCCTCCCTCAAGGTCTTCTCTGAAGTTAAACAATGGAAAGTGTGTGTGTGTGTGTGTGTGTGTGTGTGTGTGTGTGTGTGTGTGTGTGTGTGTGC